AAGCATATGCAGATAAAGACATCCTGGTAAGTATTTTTGTAGGTTCAATCACAGCTGTCCAAATACACCAATAGAATGTCACAATGACTTAAGAAATAAGCATTACAAACCTTTAGTATTTCCAGTAAATCTTGTTTTGCAGGATTTCATAGGTGAAGTTTTTTTTAAATTGTACTAAATAAAAATCCAAATGTCAGTGATTTGCAAAGCAAATCCATGAACAAGAGTAAAATTATTCCACCAAGTTTAATTTGATATCCTTAAACACATACATACTTACAACTTTTTCCTCTTGATGTATATTAATTTTTATTGATGTATCAAAAAGAAAATAAAAATATACCAGTAAGTATTAGAATTTAATTCTGAAAGCTGGAGTTTCCACTTGATCAGAATTAGCTTAACATGAAAAAGTAAATAGTCCTCTCAGAGTCTCAGTTCAAATCATCTCAAGTTCACAGGATCTAAAGAGGAATATAAAGAAATACCTGTTCAAACTGGGAAATAATTTTTTCCTGCACTTGAATTTTTTAATCTCTATTTGTGTTGTATATAGAACATGTAGCTATATATATATATGTATGACCGTTATTTTTGTTTAAAACTGATGTGTATATATACAGACGCAGTTTTTTTAACACATAGAAAAATTCCAGCTTAGCAAGAAAATGTTAATGTTTGTGCATTATTTAGTCCCAGAGTTGCCAAGAAGTCTGCCCACACAGAATCCCAACAGATGCCAAAGACATAGAAGGGCTGCCAAAAGCTGAGAGCATTGCAGTCTCCATCTCACACTGAGTCATATAAATTCAGGTGTTAACCTCTGCCTAGTTTATTAAAGTCTACCAAACTGAGAAAAGGAGATACCATTTTAGTGATGTTTCAGACTCCATAAATCTTTTCTTTTTCATGTATGTTAACTAATTTCCATTACCTTCATTTGTAATGGTAGTTAAATTTAGTTAAGTAAGAATAACCAGATTTAAAGAAAATCCTGGGAAGATAAATCTTTGCCTTTGCTTTGTTTATTACTCACTGGTGTGCCAGAAGTCAGTAGAGCTTTCAGAACTCATAGAAGACTTAAGGATGATGTGTGTCCACATAAAATAAACACGAAAGATGGATGCATGTTCTGCACTTTTACTTGATGAGAATGTACTGGTTTAAATTCACTGAACATGCTGATAATTTAAAGTGTTTATCAAAGACTTTAAAAACGGTTTACTGTGTAAAACTGTCACATGCATAAAGGTATCTCAGAATATTAGATCTTTTATGCCCCCTAAATAATATAGTGTTATATATTATAAATAGTTTCTGCTTATTGAACTGTAGAAAACCTTGAAGATCTAATAAGGCTTAATACAAATATTTTTTTATAAATCGTTCTAAACTGCAGGAGTCCTAAATAAAAATTAATCTTTTATATATATATATAAGGAAGCGTTTATAAAAAGAGGGTTAAAATTCATCAGAGACTATTTTTTTCACCTTGACTTTAGATGGGAAGGTTCCCTCTTTGTATCTAGCATTGTTACACCTCACCCTTCCTCATTCAAACAAAACTCTGCTGGGGATAATTTTTGTTTCACAGAACCACAGAAGGGCTGAGGTGTCCCATGAGGTCCCATGGAAGTGGGGTTTTTTTCTGCCCTGGTTTCATGTGCCCTAAACTAATCCTTTGCTGTGTCGGGTGTCTCAATTCCGCCACGCTTCCTTACTGGTCTCAGGAGCCTCTGACTTTAAGCATCACCACTAAAGACCAAGGCAAGGAAGGCACTGAATACTTTGGCCTTCCCTGTGCCCTTTGTCACCAGCTCCCTGCCCCATCCATCAGCAGGTCCATGGGATTTTTTTTCCAGTCTTTGTATTGCTGTCAGTACACCTGCAGAAGTCCTTCCTGTTGCCTTTTACTTTCCTCAACAGATTCAGCTCCAGATGGGCTTTGCCTTTTCTCTCTCTTGCTAATTTGTTCTGTATTGTTTCTGACAATTTAAAAAAGATTAAAGTTTTCCTCTTTAGCTTATGTCTTCGGATTACTGAAGGTTGAAATGCAGCTAGCTGTAGTTGAAATAAGAGAATGGCTCAGCTTCCCCTATTTATAAAGGCAGTTTCTAGAAGCTTCAGTTTCTTTCTGTGAGTAAAGCTCTGTGAGTTCCCCTATCACATATAGGAGGAACCATATTGCAAATTGAATAAAACTAATAAGGAGAAACAGCTTCTCAGATTGTTCTAGAGAAATGGAAAAGAGAAAATGTAAAGCCAAGTCCTCCTTTCCTAATCTCAGTGTTGTAGTTGGTGGATGACATCACCTTTAGCAATTATAGTTAGAGATGTAAAATGCTAATGGCATATTACCCTGAAGGCATTTTGCAGAACATGCCCTGGAAGCAGGGATTTAAGAGGTAATAGAGGCACTTGACAACTCTTAATGAAAGCAGTAGCTTGAAAATCACACATTTCCAGGCTTTTAAGTGTGGTGTTGTAAGGCTTTCAAAAACCAAGAGAGGTTCGCTAAAGTGTTCTTGCTTCATGCTCTTGTGAATGGAAATGAGCTCCTTTGCCTGTCTTGTGGAAGTGTTAGCTGAGAGGCAAGTGTTGAAAGAAACAGCAGCAAGTTCAAGCAGTGGTGAATGCAGAAACAGTAGGACTTGTTAGATTCAACAGGGAGCTTGGGCTCCATTGGCCAAGTTTTGCAAGGTGTAAATATTAAAGAACAACTAAAAGTTATGTATTGGAACAAGGAGCCAGAAGGGTGTCCTCCTGGATTTGCTTTCCTAGAAAGTGCAAAACCTGAATTTTATTTGAGATTTGAAAACCTTTTGATGAATTCTGTGCTTTGAGTACAGCTGGGGTGATTTATGGCTCTGTGATTTCAATCTGTAACTGGCAGAACTTTGCAGGGTTGAGCTGCAGTTTTGAGTTTTTGAGGTTTCAGATCCAAATCATTAGCTTTTTCCTGCCCTTCACTTAAATCTTTTTGCAGATAAAATTTTTCTTCCAGCTGTTCATTGTGATATTTCAGATAAATAAAAATTAAGCAAAACAAAGAAACCCCACAACCTGCTAAATAAGATTCAAATAAATAAATGTTCATTTGAGTTTCAGTTCAGTTTTACTTGACTCCTTTAATGCTGCAGTCTGCAAATCACATGTAGAAAACAAAGCTAGTATGACACAAGTTTCTCAAACAAAGTAGGGGTATCTCTGCTCTCTGCATTGAAGGGATTGCTTGGTTCTGTTTGTTCTCTGCATTGTCAGGGCTTTGGTGGTTTTAAATAGTATATCTGGGCAAAGTAAGTTTAATCTATAGTTCACGTATTGCTCCTAGTTTGAATCACGCCAAAGCAAAGAAAGTATGTGAATCACTGCTTGCATCTCAACTGGAAGATTTATTAGTTCTAACTGGATCTAGCATGGCACTGGTTATACCAAGTTAGCAGCTGCTGTCTGATAGTTTTGTAGCACAGAGACCAAAACAGGTGAATGCTACAAGTGATTCTTACTTCCCTCACATATAATATGCAATTATTTACTACAGTCCGTGGAGAAGATCAGTGAAACATCCTGTAAGTGCATTGCCACTGTGGATACAGATGGACAAGTGGGACTTTGAGGGTGGTGGCTTAAGGAGGGGTGAGAGGAGCTGGCCAGAGGTGTGTCTTCTCTGAGTGTCAGCATACTCGTACATGCAGTGTGCCAAGAGCCGTGCTCTGTCCCCAAGGCTGGCTGTCATGGAGAAGCTTGTGGCTGTGAGAAGGAACTCTCCCAGTCTGTATGCAAGGTGGAGGTATGGAGTTGCCACCTGGAAATGGAGGGTTTTCATTCACAAGGATTCCTGGAGATCGTTTGGAAGAGTGTTAGCTGGGCTAGACCAGAACCTTTCCAGACGCCTTTCTAACAGTTTAAAAATATGCATAATATTAGTGCTTGAGAACATTCCCTGGAAGTACTTTAATGTACAAGTGTTGATTCAGTCTCAATGTCTTTCAGGATGTTGGCAAAGTCTTGCTTTTCACTAACTCAGATAAAAAAAATATTACTCCAAGAAATTCAACATATATTTGCTATATGAGCATGAAATGCTGTATATACTCCTGTTTCACTGTCAACTTCTGTGTGTGTTGAGCACTAATGTCTATTGATGGCCAAATCTCTCCTGACAGTTTGTCAGGAACCCACTCTGCAGTAGATGAGACATAAGATCTGTTTTGGCCTAATGCCAAGAGAAAGGATGAGGGGAGAAAAATGTATTCCAGGGAATAAGTACACGTCATTCTTGAATCAGAAACTGCTAGTTGCAGCACCAAGCATATTTTGCAGGAAGCAAATGTAAATCCATTGTGTTTTTCAGTTTGTACTGCACAACAATAAAAGCTCATATTTATGCAACATTTTAATGATACAGTGGTATTGAAAATGCAGCTACAATTAATGATTAATGCCATGCATATGATTACATTGTGATAGCTTCTCCCATTGAGTCAACAAATGAGAATGTTGTGTTCTTGAGAAGTAAGGCTGATTTCTGTGTGTGTAACCACACATTACACATTGAACTTTCTCTGTTCACTGTATCCAATTTCTTCTGGAGTCTCCTCTCCTCTGTCTGACTTGTGGTCATATATAGTCAATGAATATCAGAATCTGTTTTCCCACTTTCTAATTAGAGCAGACATACTTCTGAAAGGTAATCTGGGAACTACCTCAGTACAGTGGTCAAAAATGTACCTCATTGCAAGTTTGAGTTTTGAATGAAGAATATACTTTGGGGCCTTACTGACGTAAGACCTTAATATCTATGAAAGCTAATAATACAATATAACTTACCTCATGTTTATTCCAGGGAACATATTTTAAGTGTTTAGATACTTAAGTATTACTTATATTTTAGTAAGTTTAGATACTTAGCTTATTTTTAAGTGTTAAGATACTAGTTTTGAAATTATCTCAGTGCCTAAAAAGTGACCATGTTTTTCTTTTTTTCCTTTTTTTTTCAGCTGTGGGACCTACTGCAGAAGTTGCAGTTCATCATGACATACATTGCTCCCTGGCAGATTGCCTGGGGGTCATCGTTCCACGTTTTCGCTCAGCTCTTTGCAATACCTCATATCCTTTATAAATTTGTTCGTCTTTATTCTTAAGTTCCTCTTCATGTATGCAATTTATTTACAGTGCTTGAACGAGGTTTGAAATTCTTAGGTAATGTACTTTAAAATTTGAAAATTTTGGAACATCTTCTGAGAAACATAGGGGTTTTTTTGTTTTCTTTTTTATTTTTTTATTCTTTTTTTTTTTTTTTTTTTTTTTCTTATTTTGGCTGCGTAGGATCTGAAACTGGGAAACTGAACTCTGACTCAGGCTGGTGTGTTTATTCCCACCCAGCCACATTCTGCAGATCATTTACTTCCCCAGTCCTCAGCTCCGAGTTTTGGTGCATCCAGAAAGAAATGTTGTGACAGACATATTGCTGGGCTTATGGCTGACTGAGCTCTCAGATATTAGTTTCTTTCTCAGTTGTATCTAGTTGGTATGTCAGATATAAATTCATTTCAGTGAGCCAACTTTTTGCTGCAACTGTCCTGATTTTTTTGTTTTCCATTTCAGAAGCAGCTAGGCTTTTACATTTTAATGTGAATTTTTCATTGGGGTGCTGAGAAATATTCTTCTTTTTAACCTTTCCACTCTGTTTTATGAGTAAAAAATATTGGATCATCAGCACCAAAGCAGTCCTTCAGAAGCAGTCTGTTTTGGTGCCTGTTCCAGGGCTCCCTCCTGGTTTGTGGATATGGGGAGTAAATGACCTCCAAATGACCTGTCTGTAGGGTTAAAAAATATATATTGAATTTATAGAACAAAAATTATTCAATTTAAATTCAAATTGAATTATTGATTGAATGCAGAAAAAAAAAAAAGCCACCAAAAAAACACATTTTAAGTGAACAGATTTAACTTTATTGACAAATAAGGTGTTACGAGTTACTAACTTTTAATTTCTTCCTCCCCTGCTAACCAAAGCTGTGGAAGAAGAGTTGACACAGTGGTTTTAGTTCAGACCTACTGATGAGTTTACTTTGCACTGTTTATTAGATATACACTCTTAAGTCTTTGTCCTTTCATCCCACAGGGTTGGGTTTTTTTCCCTCGAGCGATTTCTTCCGTCTGTTCTTTGCTGTGCAACGCAAGCAGTGTTGAGTAACAATGGTTATGTTTCTAGATGGGAAGAATAAATGGAAGCCTCAGAGAGAGGCAAGTGCACACAGAATAACTCCCAGAGGGGAAGTTTTAGATTGTTTCCTTATAGAAGGAAAGCATTATAAAAGCAGCAATCTGTCCTAAGAGTTTTAGGTTATTTGCAGCAAATCCTTCCAGAATTTCACAACAAAAAATATTTTCATTTCTGTTGGAGAAGTGTATATGAATTTATTTAGCAAAACATTTAAGAACTAAGATTATATTTCAATAAGTTTCTCTTTGGTCACAAATATTTTGTTCAGTGATAACTTTGCTCTTGATAAAATTACCAATTAAATTTTGCAAAATGGAAAGTAATTAAACCAGAGTTTTGTTTGTTTACAGAATTATTGCTAAAGTGATCTACCCAACTTATTATTATTTATATTTATAGTATGCTTTGTAAATGCAAATCTGTCTTCTAAGGCAGTGCTGCAATTAAGATACTGGTTAAATGCTGAAGTTAATATTCCCACAACAGCAATAACTCTGCCTCTTTGCACAGTAATTTTATTTGTTGTTATCATAACCCTGCAAACAGTAATGATGAATGCATGTTGCAGTTTACAGAGGTACTAAACCTGCCATTTCTTTACAGAGTTAATTATTTGTGGCTCTTAATTGCTTCAATCAGTTCTGCAAACAGGATGTAAATTTTTAAATTTTCAAGTGCCTGGGTGAACTTTGCAGCAGAGCTCAGTGATACGAGTAGCTCAGCATGCATTAATGCCTTTGAGTGCAGCATGAAGGGCAACACATGTGGAGCTTTGCCTGGTGGTGGTTGTAGAGTCTCCACCACTAGAAATCTTCAGGATTTTAGTTGAATGTCTATCAGGAGTCATATAGGTTTAGCTGATCCTGCTTGTGGCTTTTAGATGGACCAGTTGACCCTTCAAAGTCCCTCTTAATCCTAAGAGACTGGGAACAGGAATGTGCTTCAGACTTGAGGAAAGATCTGCAACTTCACTTCCTAACATTTAAGTTAGGAAGTTAAGTTACTCATTTATAAGTATCAGCCCATTGAGAAAGTCAGTGTAGTTTGTAGTTCAAAGGCTGATTTTACCTAAAAAGGACACAGTGAAATTGGAGGTAAAAAAAGTTTGTAGTTGAGATTATCCTGTTTAGGAGAGTTTCTGCTTTGGTTGTTTCAGGGTTCTTTCTATCAGAAAACAGAGCCCTGTGACACCTTTAGTAAATGCAAGTAAAAATGTGGGTTTTGAGTAACAGAGGATTTGAGCTGGCCTTACTGAAAAGTTTTGTGTTAGAAGAAGGGGATGAAAGATTTTCAAAATGTCAGTCTCACTAACTTATTTTGAAGTTGGTTTGAATTTAAACAGATTGTTAAATTGCAAGGATTAATCCTCAGAGACAATGTTTTATTTAATGCTGAAGAGTTTTTAGCTTTGGGATTTTTGTTCTCAAAATTTGATTTTGGCCATGTTAGAAAGAAAATCCATTATTCACAAAGAAACAAGTTCTGCTTCTAGACAATGTAGCCTAACAAAGATGGTACACAGGAAACCTGGCTTGGGTCATAGTGTAGGAAGGTATGCCTGTAAGTTTTTGACACTTCTTTTTTACTTAGACATAATTATAACATTGGTATTTAAAGTAAATAAATAATGACTTAATACAAACAAATTGGATATCCTCAAATAAAAATACCCCTGCAACAGATAATTGCCCTCTGCATGCATTAGATAATATATGAGAGTCAGATGCTGTTACTTGCTCTCATGACAAGCTTGCAGATATGAAGCAGTTAAAATCACTTTTCACAAATCAAATTGGTAATGTCTTCTGTCCTTTTAGTAGAGCATTATGTCTTTTGTGAAAGAAGCCCCCCCATTGCCACTGATTGTGTCTAAGACACAAACAGTTCACAGTGGTGTGTGAAATGTCTTGTCTCATGATGGTGGCAATTTTTAAATCAATCATTATATTAGTACCAACTTTAGAAACTTGGTTTGCTGCCCTTATCTGTCCTCTTTGTTCTCTTTTCCTCTCTTCAGCTCCCATGCCTCCTTCCCTTTTCTGACACTCGTAAATACTTGTTCATCTCTCACAGCCAGTGCTTGGTTATGACTGCACTGTAATGTGACAGTTTAACTTTTTTGATGCACTTGCTTTCTGCTCTGTGCTCTCTGTCACTTTTTTAAACTCCAGACTGTAAGGGCAACTCGTTTTTTCAATCTCTCTAATGCACTAAGACACCGTTCCAGACCACCGTCTTTCAGTAAGGTTTAGAGATTTGAAAGGTATCTTTTGGCAAATATCTGTTTCTAGATTTTGCAAATGGCTTTGAAAGCATGGCTAGCTGGCAGTTTTATGGAAATACTGTACCAAGAATGATGCTACTTTTGTTAAAAAGGGCTTTTTATGAAGTCTCAGGGATTGTGAGACACACATACAGTATATTGCTATAATAGGGTAATCTAAAACATTCTGGTTTTTGGGTGATTTTACCTGAAATTTAGTTTGAGATGTGCTTGATCATTGTCCACTGATAGTGGTTCCTTTAGTTCATGGCTTCTTTACTTTGCACCTACCTCCCAAGAGAGGTGTAAAGGAATGACAAGTGGTCTCTTATGCCGGTTTGAAAGTATTTTTCTTTAAATTTCATGGATGTGGTATGATTTAATGAAGAATTTAGGCCTAACATTTTATTTGCTGACATTTATTTAATTATGTTCTTTATAACTTGTATGTTTTTAAGCATCTTTATCCATCTCCTAACTTGCCTTCCAGCAACCTGAAATATGATGTTACATTTAAAGTAAACTATGGATTCAGGCATTCATTATGATGTTTATCTGTGATACTTACTATTCCCCTGTCCTCACCTTCTCATTTCTTATATATTTCAGAAAGTGGGAAATGCTGAGCATTTTTTAGCTTTCAGTCAGCATGGAATAGTAAATTCTCAGTAAGAATCAATGTGAAAGCATGACTTTGAACCAGCAGGTTGGAGTAGAGGCACAATTTCTCCACATACCAGGTCATTCCAAAACAAGCAGAAACAGAATGGAACACTGGAGACAGTGAAAGCAAGACTCCAGTATGGGGAACAAATAATTTCCAAGAGATTGGTTTTTTCCTTGTGTGTGTGTTTTAAACTCTGTCAGACACTGGAAAGGCACTTTTGTGTTACAGAAGGTACCTTAGGTAGCTGGAAAAGGTTACCTACTGCACTGCCTGTGTGTTAGGATCTGTCCTTGGGCAGAGATTAGACGGGGTCACCCCGATAATAAAACTGTAGCATTGAAGAGCCACGAGCTCTTACATGCTGGTAATGGGTGATATTTAGCACTGCCTGCCTTCCTCCCTTTCCGTGTTACCTTAACTTGCAATTTTCAGACTCTGCTATGCTTTTTTTTCAAACTCTGGCCACTTCAGTCTTTTCTACACCACTGAGTCCATTTCTGGGTAGTGTCATCTTCATCGCATCGTATGCACGACCAATCAAGTTCTGGGAGAAAAACTACAAGTAAGACTATTTAAAAATTTCTACCCTTGTTATTTGTAAAAGTTTTGCTCTCACTAGTTTCATTTCTGGTGGTACTTTTGTTTCCAAAGGTAATCCTTAAATTAGGGCATGAAAGGTTAATCTTTCAGTCTTGTTTCTGGTGTTCTACTCTTTTGTAGGTATTTGGCTGTTTCTGAAAATGTATTTAAGCAATTATCAGTGTGTTACAGATGAGGCGTCATGTTGCATTTGTTGTACAGACACACAGTAACAAAGCTGTGAAAAAGAAAATAGCAGTAAAACTCCCATGGTCAGCCTTTTTTGTCTTGCTAGCTAGTGCTAGCAACTAAATGTGTGAAGCCTTTGGCACTAGCAGTCAGACTTCATAAATACATTTTATACTAACTAGGCTGATTAAATGCTACCCTGTGGGATGCAGCAGGTAACTCTGCAGCTGCAGAACTGTGATACGAGGCACAAAGGGAAAATTGCGTTGGCCAAGTCAGGGCTGGGTCTCTCCAGTGAGGAGGGCTGTACCCTTACCACACCTCAATGTGTTAGTGATGCTGGTGTATCTTAGTTTGAAGAGTTTTATTTTGTTGCATTTTGACTTGTGTCAGCGGGTGAATATGTACTCATCTATAAAGAAATCAGTCAGACGAAGCTGAGTTGTATAAAGAGGCTTTGTATTCATTTCAGAATGTGATGAGATTTGTGGAAATCTTTTGAGGGGAGCTCAGTTCTGTACACTGGGACTAGGTCTTAACAAAATTCTCACATTTTTTACTGGGTCAGCAGTTTTGTTGTTTCAAGGGAGGGAAGTGGAGGGCAGTTATGGAGAGGCAGAAAGCTACCACTAATCCCACAGACAGCTATACATTTTTGGACAGAAAATTTGAAGTAGGAAGTGAGGATTTTAACATCTGCTACATTTTACTTCAACCAGAGCGTTTTGAAGGCATGCTGTTCCTTTTCAAGGTACCAGTTAGAGAACCAACCTCTGTTGAAGGCACATCACTGCCATATAGTTCAGTTAGTGTCAAGTCTTCAGGTTATTGTCAGTGAAAATAGAGGGAGTCATTTATATTTTTTTTTTGGTTTGTCTAATCTTTTGATACAAAATGAACAGGAGATATTCACAGGAAGTATCAAAAATAGTTGATACTTAATACTTTAACAAGGATGTATGAGTGACTCGTTTTCATCAGTAGTAACCATCTGTGGTTCCTGCTAAGGGAAGTGAAGAACTTGATGTTAATAATTTTGCAAAGCAAGGTAATTATTTTATCCATAAACTGTAAAACCTCAAGTGCAAAAAGCCAAACCCTTTTAATGCTTTAATTCACCACTGCTTGTCATTTCAAAATAAGCAGCAACTGCAACTTTGTCTTTAACCAGAAGGCTTATGTTATTCTTTGTAAAAATTGTGCTTTGTTGCTTGTTAGAAATTCTAGCGTATCATCTATGACCTCACTTAAAACAAAAACCAGAACCTTGCCTCTCAAAAACCTTTCAGAAGTAGAAAACAGCCTTGTAGAAGGTTCAGGTTTTCATCAAAGTGAAATAAGTCTTTGCCTGAACCTGTGGCATCTCAGAATATGTACAGGGAATGAGTCCTCCTAAATTTGTATTCATTTTGTCTCTAGTACTTCTGATTCTCCTTTGCCTGACTTCCATGTCACATGAGGAACTAACCAGAATGAGTGAGAGCTGGACAGAAAAACTCCTGGTTTATTAAAAGCTTACTGTGAAAAGACAGAAAAAGGCAGCGAAGGGGAGTAATTTGTATTAAGAATAAGGAAGTTTTCTAAAAAATACTTCAAATAATTGAATGAACTGAATGGGCCTTGCCTTACTGCTTTGAATTTTGACCTTCCAACATGTAAAAATTCAAAGGGATAGCATAATTGCTTTCTTTTTGAGCTGTGGAGTAAGATAGGATCAGGAACTTGAGCTGGAATGGAAAGTTGTTCTGGCTCTGCACATCTGCCTCTCTTTGGGCTACAGTTCCTTACAGCCAGAAGTTTAAAGGTTATATAAGACAAAACAGAACAGACAGATGGGGAAGTTTCTGTACAGATTTCTGTTCTGGAGTGCATTGACAGTTTCCCCAAGTTCAGCTCAGGGTATTGATGGAAAGTCACAGGTTCACTGCAGTGTTGTCTGAGATGAGTTCATACAAAGCAGAAGCTTGTGAAGATTTTTTTTTTTTGCTGTTTCCATACTCACTGCTTGTTGATAGGAACTTTGTCCAGGGGAAAGCTATCTTCAATATACTTTATATGACTTTTTTTCCTGCCTGTTTCACATACTCATTTTCAAACACTTCCTTGCTGTATTGATAACTACGTTAAATTATCACACATTAGCTACAAAATTATTCATTTACATTTACATGAAGTTAGATATTGTCAGTTACAGGGTTATTTTTTAAAAGATAATTTAATCTCTTTATTGAATAACTGAAAAAAATTTTGACAAGCAGTTTTATGTATCAAAATTATTTTTCTTTCAAGTCATAAATTAGATTTCTTTCTTAGATTGTCATTTCTATACTGATTGTAATCAGTATTTGCACACTTCTCTGTTGTCAAGCAAACTTCATTGTTGTCTCACTTAAGAAAGATTTACTTTTGCATCTCGTTTGGGACAACAGCCTGAAATTAGATGAGGGGAAAAAAAAAAACCAGTTCATTTTTGGTAGAGTGAATCCAAAGTTGAAACTCTGAACTTTATCAAGTACAGAGTACCATGTTCATTAATAGAAGAGGGCTACTAAGCCAGTAGTCTGAGTGCTGAGCAACTGATCCCTCTGTTCCTTGAAGTGTTGGTTTGGTTGTCCCTACCTGGTGTTTTCCGTGTGCACACACATGAATCTTGTGTTTCCCGGTTTCTTTTAGTCCACTTTTTCTGCTGGCTAAAGAGGAGTTTGAATCCTCTGGTTTCTCTGGCTGAGCTTCTTCCATTCTAGATGATGCAAGCTGCAGCTGAAGGTCTCGGAGAATTAAAATGGTGCCTTGTTTGTTTTTCAAGGAGCTGAAGGACTCAAGTGGGTAAAAAAAGCAAATGGGATTCATTTTGATACTAAGCAAACTGTGAAATTCCTAACAGGCTCTTCAAAATTCAGGACTCATGCTGTGCCTGTTTGGGCTCTTGTGGTGTGTGCAGAGCATGGGTGTTCTTCCCTGCAACCTGCAGATGCTGTTTGTTTTTAGTATGCTCTTTGGTACTCGCTGCAGGCAGAGTCTAGCACACCAATACATCACCGAGGTCAGGGATCCTTCAGAGAGGAAAAGGAAGGGTGACTAAGGAGAAGAAAAAATAAGGCATTAAGGAAGGTGAAGGAGAAAGAAGAACTCTTGCAATCACAGTTTTGCAGCTTTTGCTGCCTTTTTTGTTGAAAAGAGAGGGGTGTAAAATGAGAAGCTGGGCTGCTGCTCATGAGCTGGGTTACCTTGTGGGAGTTCAACTATGAGAATTTTTCTTTCTCTCTCTCTCTCTCTCTGTTATTTTTGGGTTTGTGTTTTTACAAAGGAAAGTTTGCTGTGACACTGGTTTTGTCCAGCCATTGGCCTGGGTCCTGCTTCCCAGTTTGAAGACAGTTCTTTTCGTCCCTATTTTCACAGCTGTTAGAATGATTAGGCTGTAGATGTCAGAGAGAGAAAAGGAAATAGCAATAAATCTTGTTTAATGTATAGGCGCTTTAAAGCATGAAGTGTTTGTCCAAATGCTATTGTTCAATTCCTTAGCTTTTAGGAGCTCTTTTGACTACTTTGTTACGCTGCAGCCTGACTCTGTCTTTCTCCTCCCTTCCTCTTATCTTCCTTTGTATCTTGGATATGACAATGACAGAACAGAATAGAAAGTTTACTTTTATTCCCCAGTGGGTCTAAGAGGTGGATCACGTGGAACAGCATGTTTGTTCTCTGCTGCAGCTGTGACTTGTCCCCACAAACAGCAAACTGCCACCAGGAATCTGGAGATTTCACTGTTTACAAGCTGCTTGTCTCTCCTGCTTCTATTCTATAAAACCTTCCTGTTTCTTTTCTTCTGGTTCAGTGCCTATTTTTGGGTAAGGCACAGCTTGCATTTGCTTTGAAGCGCCTTGAATGAATTACAGTGTGGTGTAACTGAATTAATTAGGTGTCTCTAAAGAGGCTGTGATTAAATTGCCAGTTATCTCAGCCTGGCATTACAGGATGCCTCTCTATGTTTGGGACTATGTGAGCAAGCCTTTCTTTGCTCCGTCTTTTTAAAAAGTGTATCACTGGGTTATTGTTCCAGTCATTGTGGTCTGGAAAATAACCACCTGTAGGGTTAATACAGCTGGGAATGGAGGGCAAGGAAAACCTGCCCTGCTTCAGATGTAATGCAGATGGCTTTTTCTTCTTTTTTCCTGCCAGCTCACTTAACCTACCCATCGCAGACAGCCTGCAGGTGGAATGGGAAGAGTTTTCCCAGTATACACATAATTCTGGGTGACCCCACATTATGCACATGTGTGGGAAAAGGAGCTGTGAAAAGTACCTGACTGCTCCCTCCCTTTTTCCCCCATAAAATAACAGGCCTTCCACTTCCAAATGCTTATTTTTAACACACTCTGGTGCCTCTGGTTTCCCTGTGAGCCTGCTCATCTGTTACAGCTGTTAAAACCCCTGCTCCAAACACAAAATGTCATTCACCCGTAACTGTCCACGGGCCTTGTTTGGGATCTGCATACTCAGACCTTTCAAGCTGTTCCTTTTAGGACTGGATTTCTTTTTTTCTTAGTCTTTTTCTTGCCGTGTTGTTTGATTTTTTCACATGGTTTTAGACCTCCTTAGTAGTGATGTTTCCAGAGAAACAACTGCAGCAGACGTTCATAGTTAGTAATGGCTTGGACTTTGATTTATAGTGAATAGCATAACTTCAGCATTATTTCCCTTTTTTCCCCTAATTGACAGGAGATAGTGTTTGCCTTATTTAATCAAATACCATTTCATATGTTATGTTCTAACTACTGTCACTGGCCTACTTAGGGT